TGAAAGAGTGAGAAAGATCAATGATAGACAAGACAACAATATATATCAGAATTGCCTAAAGAGAAAACAACCCAAAGGAATCACTCCAATAATTCTGGCAAAAGCGGATTAATGGAAACCACGCGCTCATCAGTCAACCAGTGGGCACCAATTTTTGATTCACTTGAGACCGGAGTTCCTGATTGTACCCCTCTGGCTATCCACCACGGGCTCTTGTAGCCATCCATGGAGCATACAGYAAAGGGCAAGCTAGTAAAACTCGTCTAGCTCTAGTACTAGGAAGAGATGGTGGATTCCTGTCTTATTTATCCATCCTTTCTTTCTGCTTTTGTTTGTCTGTTTGTCTGCTTCTTTCTTCTTATTGGACGCCCAAAAGCCCAAACCATTGGCGTTGCAGAACCAAGTCTGGAACCGCCACTGGTTTTGTTGTACTGAATTTGATGAGTTTGATCAATCTCCCTCACCCCTTGTCTCTATATATAACAACCCCAGATCCAATCTGCTTCACCAGAGCACAGACAAACAAGAAATACATCTAAACCGAAATTATCAGAAACAATCAACAAACAGAAAAGAAAGATGAGTTCCACAAGCCGAGCTTGGGTTGCTGCTGCAAGCATTGCAGCTGTGGAGGCGTTGAAAGATCAAGGCATCTGCAGATGGAATTACACTCTGAGGTCGTTGTATCAACACGCCAAGAACAACCTGGGATCGTTTTCTCAGGCTAAGAGGAGCATCTCTTCTTCCTTAGTGATGGCCTATAACAAGACATTGAGAGATGAGCAGCAGATGAAGCAATCTGAAGAATCTCTCAGAAAAGTTATGTATTTGAGCTGTTGGGGTCCCAATTGATCCATCCCCACACCTCCTTTAACACTACCAGTGTTACAGGTTTTGGCCTAGCAAACGAAGAATGGAAAATTAAATTGGTTGGACAAAGAAGCTGAGATAGCTGCATCCCCAACTAACGCAAACGCTGCTCATCGATGGGGTCCTGAGAATGAAATATACCAAGAATTTTGTAATTACTGCATGTAAACACCATTAAATTGTTTTCTTACACAAATATATACTTCCTTATTATCTCAAARTCTTCATTTTCTTTTCTATTGGCCTTCATTATCCAACGGTGAATATACAGATGTTTCATGGATGGGTTGAAACACGATTGATTATTTCCTGGATATGTGGACAATGCAGAGGTTTGGCTATTTATGAATCGATCATCCGTTCTTCAATAGGTAAGGATCATCCAAGTTATCCATCCGAGGAGAATGAATGACCTTCTCTCTTGAGGCACTTCCTTCAAATTAAGGCTGTTCTTCTTTAATAGGTTAGACCTTCTTTCAAGCCAAATTTGGTTTAAGCAATACACATAATAGCTTATGATGGAGTCTGTTACACATCTACTTAGTTACCCACACCAATATCTGTTGTGTTGGTACCTTGAATTCCTGTTGCGATCTCACTCAATGCCTTAACCTGAACAAAGTTGGGGAAAAGTCCAAAGGAAAATTTTCCTTGTACTTTGTGGTGGAAGCAGAGGTAATAAGTTAGGTGATCTAACCCTTATGTATTTATAGTGACATGAAATCCAGATCTGTTAAGGAGTCTATATGAAACATGTTCTAATACGCCCCCTCAAGTGAAATGTCTAGGAAGGACATGGAGCTTGGACCGGAGAGAAATGAAGCAAGTACTGTTATACTAGTTTGGTGAGAAGATCTGCGACCTGATCACTAGAGGATATGAATTGAACCGAGAGAGAATGTTTGAGTACAAGATCCCTCAAGAAATGGAATGTGACTCGTACGAGCATAGAAGGCAGGGTTGGATGCAAGATACATGGCGCCAATATTTCAACACCAAATAACTGACGTCTGAGTCAGTGAGTGACGCCCAAATCTTGTAGCAAGGAACGAACCCAAAACATCTTCGTTGAAGCATTAGCGCAAGCTTGGAATTCAGACTCAATACTATATTGAGCAATGGCGGGTTTCTTCTTAGAGCTCCAGGCAACCAAGTTTCATCCTAAATAAATGAGATAACCACCAGTAAAACACTGGTTGTCGGGGCAACTGGCCTAATCAGCATCAGAGAAAGCCTGAAGAGTGAGCAGAGCTGAAGTGGAGTAGAAATGGCGTCCACGATCGATTGTGTTCTTGAGGTACCGTACGATCCATTTCATAGTGGCCTTGTCGGAGAGTGAAGAAACTGACAAACTTTGTTGATGGAGAACAAGATATCTGGCAGTGTAATAATAAGATATCGGAGTGCACCAAAGATACTCTAATACAACAATATTCCAATACTCCAAGGGATCTGAGAGAGAGTCACCACCGACCATAGAAAGCTTAGAGTTCATAGCCATAGGGGAAGTGAGAGGTTTGGCCTTAGCCATGCTAGCACGCTTCAGGAGATCCAAGATGTACTGCCATTGAGTGAGAATAATGCCATGAGGTTGAGCTGTAATCTCCATGACAAGGAAATAGTGTGCTGGATCAAGATCTTTCAAGGAAAAGGTCCGACCCAAAGAAGAAACAAAGGCATCAAGTGCAAACAGTGAGGAGCCAGTAAGGAGTATGCCAAGAACATAGGCGGCTGACATGCAAAACCCACTAGGAGGAGATGAGAGCTGAGACGAGAATACCATGCTCAAGGTGCCTGACGCAGGTTGTAGAGTGCTTTATTTAGTTTACAAACATGGTGAGGGTTAGTGAAGTCCTCAAAACCTTTCGGTTGATGAACATAAATGTCCTCAGAGACATAACTATTGAGAAAATCATTGTCAAATTCATCTGCCAAAGGGGCCAACTAAGAGCAGTGGAGAGAGCAAGAATAGTATGGATGGTGACCAGCTTCACTACCAAACTAAAAGTACCCATGAAATCAACTCTTAGAGTCTGATTGAAACCCAAAGTGACCAGTCGTTCTTTACATCATTCAACAAACACGTCAGCCCGCCATTTGAGTTTGTATACCCATTTTGTGCCAACGACATGCATATGAGGTTGATAGGGTACTAAGGTCCATGTGCTGTTAGCAACAAGAGCATGGAACTTTGGAGACATTGCCTTATGTCAACATGGTTCTTTAATGGCTTTAGAAAAGCAACTAGGCTCATGAAGAGCAACAAGAAGAGYCTTCGGAATAGGGTACGTAGTAGACAAAAATATGAGATTGAGTGTGTAGAGAGCTTGTTAGGGAACGAGTGAGCATAGAATGAGTCCGAATGGAGGGTTCTAGGACTGGTTGAGTAGCGTCAAGAAACTCTTGTATAAGCTGAGTGCCACACGGAGGAGGAGAGGGAACATCACCAAAAAACAACACCGTCTATAGGCGGAGATTGAGCAGCTAGAGATGAAGTCGAGCAAGAAGATTGGGCCAGTTTGACATACTATGTAGAGGGAATCACCAGCGTTATAGCTGACAAAGATGCAATGAAGTGAATAGAAGTAGAACTTGTTGGTGTTGTACGACCGAAGTAGAGGATAGCAAGCACAATCTAAAGTGCGTAGCATTGTATAATTAGGTGCGGTGCCGAATAGTGTTTCAAAGGGAGGTTGATTGTGCAACACCTTGGTATGAATCCGATTAATCAAATAAATAGCTGTAGAGGCTATGTCATCCCAAAATGTGAAGGGTAGAGTTGAGGATGCCAATAGAGATAGGGTAGACTTGATGATGTGGCGATATTTTCTTTCAATGGAACTTTTGTTCATCAATGTGTGGGCAGGCAAGGTGATGACTGATATTGTGTTCAAGCAGAAACGATGACAACCATCCATATTATCCTCCGTAGTTGGACTATAAACACTTAATTTTTTTCTTAAACAACAYTTCTACATGCCTCTTAAATTTAAGAAAAATGTTAAATACATCAGACTTATTTCACATCAAGGATAACCAGGTAAACTTGATATAATCGTCGAGAAAAGTTACATAATATCTATAACCATTATTGGACACAATAGGGGATGGACCCCAAACATCTAAAAAAATTAAATTTAGAGGAGCGCTAGACTGACTAGTAGAAGAAGATAAATGCAACCTACGACTCTTCCGTAACTGACAAGACTCATACATAGATGGCACATCGCCGGCATAAATGGGAGTCTAAACATAGAGATCACTTGTCGTACCACTTGAAGAGCTGGATGTCCCAGTCATTGATGCGAACCATGAATGGAAGAACGTTAACGTATGAAAGTAGATGGAAAATCATTCTTAATGCCAAGACTACCCAAGAAAGAATAAAGCCCATCTTTATGGGTCCTCGTAGAATTTGTCTCCCCGTATAATCCTTCAAAACAAAATAGTCGCAATGGAATTTAAATAAGAGATCATTATCACGAGTAAATTTGCTAACAAATAATAAATTCTTGGAGATGTGTGGCACATAGATCAAATCATTCAACTTAAAAATATGAGAATCATGAGACATCAAAGAAGAACCAATATGAGAAATCTGCAAACCTGCCCCATTGCCAACCTTAACTTGATTTGAACCACCATAATCAGAATGATTTTGCAGATTATCAACGTTTGGCATCATATGATGTGTTGCTCCATGAAAAGTTGCTAGTTCAGATTCCTCTTTTTGTAGATTATTAAAATTAAGATCATACAATCGCTTACATTTTAGTGCATGGCACTCGGGACTGTTGCACACTTGATAGACATGTTAGACAATTGTATGCCCTTAGCTCCAATCAGAATGATGTACATTATGAATTTATTGTAAATGAATAAAGTACATATTTGATTCATGTTCTTTTGGTTTGTTTCTGTGTAATACCCTTAAACTGGACACTTATGAGATTCGTGTTAGTTTAGAATGTTCACAACCATTGGATAAGTTTGGGGAGATTTATCCTGTCAAGGCTGACACTGCTGTGCTACCAAATGTTGGGGTGGCCTATCTCAGCCACCAGGGTGAGACCCAAGGCACATGCAGTGTAGGATTAATTGAATCTTTGATCCAGACCATATTTTTAGTATTTCTCTGGACCTTGGAGATTGATGGGCAAAACTGGAAAGTTATACCTGACCCCTAGACTCGATTACGATACTACACTAGGTGTCGGATTTGGCTGTTTTTGATATGCCAATCAGTGAGATCCTTAGTGGGGGTCAAAACCTGGGTATGTTGGGACAGTCTGAGAAATCATCTGAGTGGGTGATCATAGTGACAGGATTAGCCCCTTTGTCGGACAAAGGTAATGATCGGGGATGCACTCTCTCTGATGGAAACCAAGACTGCCAGCAGTCGATTTCAATCGTTGAAAATTTTGTTTTGCAAAATATATTTATATACTGATATACATATATATATTATTGTTTCCAAAC